CCCCCCAGGCTGCCTTCCCAGTCCCTCAGATGCCTGTAAGCAAACCACAGTTTCACATCCCAGTGCTCTGTTTGTCTCTAAAGTTCATCTAACCACAGGAAATAACACAAACTCAGGGGGAGGGGGAGTGTTGTTAGGTTTATATTTGGCTTTTATTTTTGGCTTTTACTGACAAAGGATTGTAAATGTAGTCAAAAACCGTCAGCACAGTGTCAATTCAGGCACTTTAAATCTTCAATGAGATGAGATAACAAGCCAATAATTACAAATTCTACCAGAAACAGCGTTTTTTTTTAAGCAGTCTTTTAGTCAAAAACTGTCAGCACATCGTCCATTCACGCACTTTAAATCTTCAATGAGATGAGAAAACAAGCCAATACTTACAAGATTCCCGTAAATTCTACCAGAAATAGCGTCAGTTTTGCCCGTGTGACCGGTTTCTCTGCCCCATATCTGCTCAGACTATCCCGTACAGGAATGTCATCAGCGGAGGGCTGCGTCCCGGTCGGATCATCACCATCCAGGGAACCGCGTTCCCCAACGCCACCAGGTGGGACCCATCATTTAAATGTGTAAAACTGAGCACTGTGCATGCAGGAAGCATAAGAAATGAGCAATATATCGTAATGAAACTGAAAAACATCCAAGAATAAGCACAAAGAAACAGATTCAGCTTGTAAAATGGAGAATTATGATCATTTGTTTGATCATTTAAGGGCTTTGTTGGTTTGTAAAGAACTTCATTATTAGCATTTCAGGTAATTAATTAATAATGGTTATTATAATTCATATTATTTGCAAACAGATCAAAAGATAAAGTGCTGCCGGCTCTGTCAGTGTGAAGTTTGACTGTTTCTCTTTTTAGTTTTTGTGGCTTCCTGTTTGATGAAATGAAATTCATTAAAAGATTAATTTTGTTTTAAAAACTGTTTTTCCGAGCAGCTTTGAACCTTTAACATGAAGACTTAGAAAACTAGGAGGAACCACGATTGTGCTTCCTCCTTTTTTGGATTTTCTTTACAGATACTTTATGCTAAAAGTGAGAATTTTTCAAAATAAAGGTCTTAATTCATGCTTATGTTTTATGTTTATGCATTTGGCAGACGCTTTTATCCAAAGCGACTTACAGAGTAGACACAATATTACAATTTATCATCATTAATTGCTTAATTGAATGTTTAATGTCTGGTTTATCCTCTGAGCTTGTGACCAGTGAAGAGTGAGCTGAGCAGGAAGCTAAAGGGTCAAAAGACTCATCCGTGTTTCCCCCTCCCTCCCAGGTTCAACGTGAACCTCTGCTTCCAGTCCGGGATCGCCCTGCACTACAACCCTCGCTTCAGCGAGAACTGCGTGGTGCGAAACACCAAGCAGTGGGACCAGTGGGGCTCCGAGGAGAGGGGGGGGGGGCATGCCCTTCAAGCGGGGCCAGGCCTTCACGGTAGGAAGTATTCCTGGAGAGGGAGATGTGGAGGGGAAAAGTCATAATATATATATATATATATTAGAAGTATGCTCAATGTCAGTTTTACTTAATTGTATGTGCAGCGAAATAACCAATTGTATAATGTTGCTAGGGAAGATTAATTCATATTTGGCCAATCAACATCACCAAAATGAATGGCTTTGGGGCCCCTGGAAATGTAGTTTTCCCTGAGTCCTTTTTAAAAGTGACCACAGTGATTTGACGTGGACACAGTCTGGACAAACAGACTTAGAACACCTCTCTGAACGTATTAAGAAACATTAAATATCACGAGTTCATATGGAAAACTTTGTTAAGCTAACTGTGTTAAGCTAACACCATGTTAAGCTAACTGTGTTAAGCTAACCGTGTTAAGCTAACTGTGTTAAGCTAACCGGGTTAAGCTAACCACCTGTGGGCCTACTTTGTGTGTTTGGTGACAAATATTGAAATTGAGTGTTGTATTTCATACTGTTCCTTTCCAAAATAAGACCTAATGTAGCTTTAAATGGTTAACTGTATATGTAAACTGCTGATTCTGAGGAGGGAATGAAATGCCTATTGTGGAATTGTAGTAATTTTTCCACTTTTAACTTGAATGCATGTACTGGGTTAGGCAGGGAAACCTATTGGCACACCAGCCCCACCCAGATTTTCAGGTTATTTTACCTTTTCCTTGCATCCCAAGTGGCTCCAGAGCTGGTCCTGCCCCCCCCCCCCCCCCCCCCCCACTATAAAGGGCCTCCAGCTGGGGATACATGGCAGAGACACAGCGGCGGCGTCTTTTCCTGCTTTTGTCGCGTTTCCTTCCTGCTTCGGTGACCGAACTTGTGTGTTTTGGCCGCTTAGAAGCATTTTTATTTGAGCAGACATTTCCCAGTTCAGCCCGTTTACATGACTGTGCACGTTTCCGATCTCCTCTAAAAGGCAGTTTAAACCCAGAAAATAAGACAAATACTCTGAATCTGCTTCTTATAAGAGGGAGGAATTTAAAAATAAACTGTTTTTATTACATTTTCTGTGGTTTTTGATGGCTGGCATTCATGTGGGAACCAAAGAAGGAGCTTCATTGTTGGGGGAAACTTGATTTATAATTTCTTATGACAATAATCTGAGTCTGAAATGTGAATCTTGTTTCTTTCAGCTGACCATCTGCTGTGAGAATCACGCCTTCCGAATCGTGGTGAACGGGATGAACCAGCAGGTCTATAAGCACCGCGTCAACCCCCTCCACCAGATCACCAACATGGAGATCGATGGGGACATCAGCCTGACCTCTGTGACCGTGTAGTGGTCAGGAGGAGACCAGTTCACAGCCACCACAGAAAAAACGCTCGATTCTACTCTATCGTTGTTATTTTGTTTTTGTGGTGTGGGTCTTTTGCCACTTCATAAGTCTAATACATTTCTAAACCAAAACTAGTTCAATTCAAAGGTTCATAAAGAATTATTTT